CGTGAATGGCTGCCTGTTTAAAAAAAGCCTCTAAAAAGCGCCCTCTACTATGAGGCAGGAGAACTGCGGGCCTCACCTCCCTCGGGATTTTTTAGGCTTTTAACCCTCGCTTAACTCTGCTCGAGCACCTAAAAAGTCAGACTAGATGAGGCATGCAGTTCTCCTGCCTCATAGTAGAGGGCGCTTTTTAGAGGCTTTTTTAAACAGGCAGCCATTCACGGTGTGGCAGCAGCTAGCTTAGCCTAACCTCAGCACTCGCCTTTTCCCATTTACATTTTTTCCTTTTCATGATTGACAGTGGTGAGTCTGGGCCTCCCCTGACTGCACCAGAAGGCAAGACGAGAAACAATGAATGATGGGAACTCACTGAGGAGAGAAACCACCTGGAATTAAGGAGACATTTCTTAACAGCGAGGACAATTAATCAGTGGAACTGCTTGCCACCAGAAGTGGTAGGTGCTCCATCATTGGACAGCCACCTATCTGAAATGGCATGGGGTGTCCTGCTTGAGCAGGGGGCTAGGCTAGAAGACCTCCAAGGTCCCTTCTGGCTCGATTCTGATTGGTTGCTTGATTGATTGATCTCCCAAGAAGCAGGAGGAACTCCCCTGGCCGCCTGGGGTTGGAAGATGGAACCGGGAGGATGTGAAGGAAACCACCTGGGTTCCAGTGGTGGACATTGTGGTCACAGGCAGGACAAAGAGCCTGCCACTCAAAGAACGAGCATTGGAGAACATTAAAACTGCACCCTTAGATCTGGCCCACGATGCTACCCTGGAAACAGTGAAGAACCGGCCCCCAGCACCTCAGGTCAGCAGGACACTGATCTAAAACTTGGTGGCTGCCATCTGGGCCCGAACACGGTCAGCCTTAGATCTGTGGGGTGTCCTGGAGTCAGTCAGAGGCAGCCACCATCCCATGGAGACAACGGATCCCACCCCGGCCAACACAGGCACCCCACCGACATGAGCTGGACACAACCACCCCAGGCCCCCAAGGTGAACCCCAGCCCTGATGTGGCCCTCAATTAAATTGAGTTTGACACCCCTGGATCATGGGGTCATTAAAAGATGATGATGGTTTTGTTTCCATGGACATGGCTGACTGGACAAAAAGCTTCTGTCCAGAAGAATTTGGCCGTTATGGTGAAGATTTGAACCCGGGGTCCCCACCACTCCATCTGCCGTGGGAGAGAGAACCTACCTGCAACATCTAGGTCAATCTTGTAGTGTACCAGGTGGGTGTGGATGTTGCCCAACAAGTGAGTATGGAGACGGGTGCCATAGGGGATCCCCTCGGGCGTGTAGAAGGACGTGTGGACATAGCCCGTGGCGTGGACCTTGGTCTCCAGCACGCCATTAGGAAAGAGCAGGAAGTCCCAAATGTAGTCGTAGTTGTAGACGGTGGAAGTGGTCCGGATCACCAGGGCATGACCCTCCAAGCCTGCGTAGAAGGTAGAACCTCCTTGGAAGTTGCTGTCGAAGTGACGGCGCAGGGGCACGCCCGTCGGCAGCTCGAAGATGCAGATGGCATTGGGGTAGCGGACCGGTGCATCGGCGTCGTAGTGGTGGTAGACGTCCATGAAGGTGGCCGTCTCTGGACAATCGATGCCCGGAGCCAGTTCGTGAGTGACGCTTCCCATGCCCCATCCGACATCGATGTACTTGGTTTGCATGGTGGCCGGGGAGTTCCCGCCATAGAAAGCAATGGCCTCCTGCACGCTCACCTCGTAGGCGATGCGCTCCCCATTGAATCGTACGTCAAAAAGCTGCAGGCCTGTGGAGGTGCGTAACCGGAAGGCCAGGCTCCACCCGCTGTACTCCACGAGGTTGCCATGCACGGAGTAGCGGTGTCCTTGTGGTTCACACACTTTGGCACCATGCACGTTGGTAGGGGGCCCGGTGTTGAACTCCCCGCGGGGCACAAAGCTGGAGAAGAGGGTTTGGTCTGGATGGGAAACCAGCTGAACGATGGGCACTTTGCCCTGCGCGTACTGCTGGGCCAGTTCCTGTGGTGTGCCAAAGTACTGCCCGTTGTACCACACCGTCTCGATGGACCAGCGGGCGGGGTCCAACTCCCCGTGGTTGATCAGAACCTCCAGTCCGACGGGGTGAAGGAAGAAGCCCTCGATGGCACGCTGCAGAATAATCCATGTCCGCCGTTCCCCGGAGGCCAGGCCACGTGGGGCGATGTCGGTGAAGGTCAGGCATCGGTCCTGGCAGTCCCGGAGGCCAAAGCCAGAGACGTCCTTCAGGAACTGGTTCAGGGGGGCCAGGAGTTCGGTCAGCTTGTTGAAGACCAGCTTGTACTCCAGTTGGGTCATGGGTCTGGTGATGAAAGCCACCGGCTGGCCAGACGGGCGATAGAACCTCGGCACGGGCAGCGGCCCCACGATGTACTCCGTGATGTTGGGCTTGGCACCGGTGCCAAAGAAGACCACTGCTCGGGCACGCCGGCGTGGGGGCTCCGTGCCAGTATTGAGGTAGCACAAGGCCTGGCTTTTCTTCGGAGGGAGCATTTCGATCAGGAAGAGGCTGTTCTTGGCGAGGGACCCCCCCTTGCTCGGTTGGAGTCCCAGTTCAGGGCGACTCATCAGGAACGTCCGGACGGCCCGAAGCTCCGCAGGGCTCAAGTCGGAGAAAATGGAGGCCGCCTTTTGGCTCAGAGGGGGCAGCGTACCCTGGATGGCCTGGACGAAAAGGCAGAGCATGCCCACCATGTAGGCCACCGGCATCCTCATTGCGACGGGCCTGTTGGAGGAAGGAGAGGCGTGTGGGACGGGATTGCAGGCGGCAGAGAGACGTGGGCAACGCTAAGTGTTTATTCCCTCCCAGCTGCAAACTGTCTGCTGTTCGGCTCTGATGCGCCTCAGCTGTACCGGAGGCAGCAACTTTTGGGATAATGGAGCCAAGGGGGCGGGGAGGGGGAAATGGGGGAGGGAGGGAGGAGAGGGGAGGAAGGGAGACATGCAGAAAGGCAGGCAGGCAAGAAGGAGAGGGAAGGAGAGAGGGAAGGAAGGAGAGAAGAAGGAAAAGGAGAGAGGAAGGGAGGGAGGAAGCAGAGGGAAGGTGGGAGAGAGGGAAGGATGGAAGGAGGCAGGAAGGAAAGAAGGAAGAAGAGAGAAGCAAGAAGGAAGGAAAGGAGGGAGGGAGGGAAGGAAGGGAAGGAGGGAAGGAAAGAAGGAAGAAAGACAAATGGAGGAAGGGAGACAGGCAGGAAGGGGAGGGAAGGAAAGAGAGGGAAGGAGGGAGAAAGGAGGGGAAGGAGGGAAGGAAGGAAGGAAGGAGGGAGGGAGGGAGGGTGTTTGGAAGCCATCTGTCCCATGGCTTAAAATATGTTTTCACTGCCCAGTAGGCAGCCGGGCATCCTGACACCACTTTGGGCCAAGATCTCCGCTCTTACCCATGTCTGGGGGGGGTGGGTGGTGGATTGCAAAACATGGGTGGGGACTGGGGGGCTGCAGGGGGGGTTGTGTCCCCTGGGACAGTTCACCCCAGCCCCGACTTGTCTTTGGGGTCCCTATTGCTGGAGAGGGGGGGGGCATCTTTCCGATCCTCCATCCAGTTCAATTGCGGGCATGGGTCCCTCCCCACCCCCCCACCCCACAGACCCATGGAGCCACCAAGCGCTTTGTGGCTGAGCGTCCCACCCTGCCAATCATTCAAGCATCTGAGACCCCCTCCCCTTTAAACAATAGGTGTAGGGGTGGGCAGTGGGCTGACAGCTCTGGGGAGAGGAGCCCCCTCCCCACAAAGTTCCCAACCAGCGTCTCTCAGGGAACCTCACCTGCACCCCCTCCCCAGGCACCTTCCCTACTTCTTCCCTCCTTCCTTCTTTTCCTTTCCTTTCCCTCCTTCCCTCCCTCCTCCTGCTCTTCCTTTCTTCCCTCCTCCTCCTTCCAACTCTTTCTTCTTCCTTTCCTCCTTTCTCCCTTCTTTTCTTCCCTCCCTCCCTCCCCCACGGCTGCCCCCGAGCGCCCCTCACTTGTGGGCCGGCTGGGCTGCGGCTTTGGAGGTGAGGCGGCGCCTGCTTCAGCAGCCCTTCCCGTGGGGCTGCGCCTACTTATCTAGCCCAGCAGGTGGGAGGGGGCCGGTCCTGGCAGAGCAGGAGCCGTTGGCTGCCCCGGGGCACGGGGCTGGGAGGTGGGTGGGCAGTGCCTGATGGGTGCCAGGATCAACCTAAGTCCACAAACAGCCCCAGGGACTCTGGGCTCAGGTGGGCAAAGTCCCTTCCGAGGGAGGGGGGGGATTTCTCAACGCGGCGCTAGGTGCAGCCCTACACCCAGCGGAAGGGGGGAGGGAGGGGCAGCATGCTCCCCCCTCCCTCCCCCCCCCGGTTGCAGTGCGGCGAGCAGAAGTCTGCAAGGGCCCGGGGCTCCAGGAGGGGTGGCTGCCCCCCCCAGGAGGTGTCTCTCTCTCTCCCCCCCCCAAATGAAGTGGGGCTGGCTTGCTGCGCAGTCAGGCGTTCGGATCAGGAGCCCCACTGAGAAGAAGCCAGGTTTCCGGAGAGACCGCTGGCTCCCCGCCAGCTTCCCCAAGAGGCTCGGCTGCCTTTGGCCGGTTCAATGGGGCAGCGACAGGAGGGGGAGGGGAGAGAGAGCCTTCCTGGACTCTCCGTCCCCTGCAAGACCGTCACACTCGGAGTCCCTGCCGGCGCGGGGGGGGGGGCGGAGAAGGACGAGGAGGAAGGGAGGGGGGCTATCTATCTATCCATCCATCCATCCATCCATCCATCCATCCATCGTCCGTTATCTACCATCTATCTATCTACTGTATTATCTATCTATCCATCCATCCTCCCTCTCTATCATCTTATCTATCTGTCATTCTCTCTTTCTCTCGCCAAACTTGGTTGTGGATGATGGAGCCGGTGGCCTCCCCTCCCCCAGGTTCAGTGCCCTCAGTTTCTTCCCTCCCCCTCCCTCCCTCTGGGCTCTGGGGCTGCTCTGCCCTCTGGCCCCATTGGCAGGCCAGCTGAGATCAAATGTCAGATGGAGGGGGGGGTCTTGGCAGCACATCTGCCGGCTGGTGACCTGGATATTTCATTTGTTTCTGCCTCCCGTTTGAAAAGCCAGTCCAGGCAGCCTGCAGCGGTCAATAGGGAAAGTCCTCGACTTACGACAACAATTGGGCCCCACCTTTCTGTCGCTTAGCACAACATTTGTTATGGGAATTTCCCCCCATGTCACGATCTTTTCTCGGTACCATTGTTAATGGAATGCCCACAGTTGTTAATTCAGTCCGCCAGTCATTAAACAAATGTGGTTTCCCACCTTGACTGTGCTCGCCGGAAGGAAAGGAAAGAAGGAAGGAAGGAAGGAAGGAAGGAAGGAAGGAAGGAAGGAAGGAAGGAAGGAAGGAAGGAAAAAAGAGAATGGGAGGGAAGGAAGGAAGGAAAAAGGAGGGAGAAAAAAGAGAATGGGAAGGAAGGAAGGAAGGAAGGAAGGAAGGAAGGAAGGAAGGAAGGAAGGAAAAGGCAGGGAGAAAAAAGAGAGAATGGAGGGAAGGAAGGAAGAATAGAATGAAGTAAATATAGATGGGAGGAAGGAAGGAAAGGGGAGGGAGCGAGGGAGGGAGGAAAAAAGAGAGAATGGGAGTGAAGAAAGGAAGGATAGAATGAAGGAAGGATAGATAGATGGAAGGAAGGAAGGCTAGATGGATGGGTGGGTGGGAGGAAGGAAAAGGGAGGGAGGGAGGGAAGAAGGAAGGAAGGATAGAATGAAGTAAGGATAGATGGAAGGATAGATGGATGGGAAGGATGGATTGATGGAAAGGAAGAAAGGAAGGAAGGAAGGAAGGAAGGAAGGAAGCCTAGATGGATGGATGGATGGATGGATGGACAGATAGATGGATGGACAGACAGACAAATGGATAGATAGATGATGGAGAGAGAGAGAGAGAGAGAATTCGATTCAAAAACCATTTTAAAACCATGTTTAAACCAGTCGTGAAACCATTTCGTGGCCCCTAACTAAACGGCTGCTTTTTAATCGGTGGATTTGGCATTGACATTTCGTGCCAGATCTGGAACCTCTACGGTAGGATGGTTTTTCCCCCCTTTTATTAAAGTTAGCCACTGAATCGTGCGGAAGGAATGTGCCCTGGCACGGGAGGAAAATGCACCAAACCTGGGAAAATCGGGGTGGGTGAAGCCATGGGGAAATTATATTTTTTCCCCCCGTATACAGAATAAGATTGAATTCTGTGTTGATTGTTTAATGGAGCGAAGGGACAGAATGCAGATTAAGGTGTAACAAGGAAACAGCTGAATAAGGAACAGGGTGATATGAACATGGCCAGGCACTGGACATTGCGTTAGCCTCAAAGGGGGGAATTTGTGGGCCCACCCTCACCCTCACAGCTGCAGCTACAGGCAGGGGGGTTGGTCTAAAAGACCTCCAAGGTCCCTTCCAACTCTCTTATTCTGTAAGGGTCTCCTGCTTGAGCAGGGGGTTGGACTAGATGACCTCCGAAGTCCCTTACAGGTCTATTCTCAGGGCTTCCCCCTAGGGATGCCAGCCGCCCCTCTTTTTCCTCCCTGGCAAACGCCAGAAGGCCGGTGTCCCAGTTGCCCCAGGAAGAGTTATAGATTAACCAAGAAAAACAGAATGTACAGTTAAGAAGGAGAGATAAAAACCCCGGGAGAAAATCAGATCGGGAACAGGAAGGCCAATCGGGAAGAGAGATCCGCATCGGTGGTGGGTGACGTGGGACCGATCCGTCGCTTTTCGCACGTGGCTCCTGGCCTGGAAAGACCCCGACGGGAGGGAACGTTGCCAGCTCTTCTTCAGCGGTCGATAAAAACGGATCGATGGATCCCAGGGAGCTTCCTTCCCACCATCGAGGGATCCTGAAGAGCGGGAAAAGAGAGATTCCTAGACACTTTGGGGTCCGTGGGGGGGGGGGGGGAGATCCAGCAGGGAGAAGTTCAGAGGGGGCTGAAACCGCCTTCCAATATTTAAGGGGCTGCCCCAAAGAAGAACATAGAGAAATAAAAGCATCTGATTGAATCAATAAATTCGATGTAGTAAAATAAAATGAAATTTCATTTCAATGTAAATTACATTTTTTTTACAAATTAATAGAATTTATTTCCCAAAGCACCGACAAGAAAGCACAGGTGGGAATTCATCCAGGGGAGAAGAACCCTGGAATGAAGGAGAGACTTCCTCACAGGGAGGACAATTGACCCGTGGAACTGCTTGCCACTGGACATTGTGGGTGCTCCATTACTAGAGAAAAGACCGGACAGCCACTTGTCTAAAATGGCTTGAGCAGGGGGTTGGACTAGATGACCTCCAAGGTACCTTCTCTTATTCTCTCGTTCTGTAAAGGTCTCATGCTCAAGCAGGGGGTTGGACTAGATGACCCCTAAGGCCCCTTTCAACTGTGCTGTTCTGTGATTTCGGAAGAGTCAAGTGCTGGAGCAGGGGGCTGGACTAGAAGACCTCCGGGGGTCCCTTCCATCTCTCTCGTTCCGTAAGAACCAGGCCAGCCTTTGGCCTCCGTTGGACTTTTCACAATCTGCAACGCCTGAGTTGCTTCACCCTGGAGGATATCTCAAATTTCGGTCCAGAGGTCTCCCGGGGGCAGAATTCTTATCAGCTGTCCCCCGTCAGTTTTGTTCCGCACCTTTGCGAGGGCCTCGTACGCAACCTCCCGGCCTTATTTGGTTTCCTTGCTGGAACTGAAATGGGAATTTGGTAAGCCATTCGCCACGGGGAGCCAAGTCAGCAGTCCGGCTTAGTTCCCCTTTGGCTGACTGCTCACTTCGGCACACGTCGCCTCTGATCCGGTTTTCCTGCCGGGCGTCTGCAGAGCAGCCAGCGGAGAAGCCGCCTGTTGTGCCCCAAAGGTTATGTAACTCCCAGATTCTCAGGCTTCGCTCCGTACACCAAAGGCCGGCTTTCGGCTGTAGTATCCCACTCTCGTGTGTCTGTGTGTGTGTTGTGTCTGTGTGTTGTATTGTCATGGTGTTACCAATAGAAGACAATATTTGTAGCTCCAGATTAAAAAGACGGATCCTTGGGACTCTATGAGCTGTGGGGGGTGTGTGTGTGTGTGTTTCCTTGCAGACATTTCATGACCCAACTAGGGAATGTCATCAGTGCTAGAAGGGAGGGGGGGGGGGGGGCTGTGGGGTTCTTGCCCTGAGTCCCCCCAGGGAAAAGGGCGGCCTATAAATAAATTTACCATTTACCATTTACCATTTGATGCTCTCTGAGCTTGGCTGTTTTCTTCTGCAGGAGACCCTGACAGAATCACAGAGTTGGAAGGGACCTTGGGGGGGTCATCTGGTCCAACCCTCTGCTCTAGTAGGAGGCCCTAATACCAGTTCAGACAAGTGGCTGCCCAGGATCCTCTTCAAGGCCTCCAGTGACGGAGGAGCACCCACACCTTCCAGTGGCCAGCAGTTCCACTGGTTCATTGTCCTCACTATGAGGAAGTTTCTCCTTCATTCCAGGTGGCTTCTCCCTTTGGTTAGTTTCCATCCGTTGTTTCTTGTCTGCCTTCTTTGGAGAATAGTTTCCCCCCTTCTTTGGGGCAGCCCCCCAAATATTGGAGCACTGCTATCATATCCCCCCTGGTCCTTCTTCTCATTCAGCGAGAGAATGAGTTGCTCCGATTCCGGCAGCTGTTCTTAGAAACAAACCAGGATGGGACCTGCCTAATACTTGGAGACCCCCGCCTCCCCCTCCCCCACATAACCCCCCAAGCCCCACCCCTAGGATGCAAGCTGGCCAGGAGGGGGTGTTCCTAATGGCATTGGTAACTGTTCGCTTTGCGTGCGCTTCGCCTGCGCAGTTCACTGTGAGTTGTTCTCCACATGGGGGAAGAATGTGAAAAACGACTTAAAAACATGCTGGCAATGGGAGCAGCAACCGGGGGACTGGTTCAGGGGCGTGGCCAGCCTGGATCGCTGCCGGTTCTGCGATCAAGGCCAAAGTACCACTCCTGGTTCGGCAAAACCGGTGCGAACCGGTAGAAACCCACCTCTGAAGCTAGCTTGGGAAGTCAAAACCGTACACCTGGAAGTTGGCAACCG